AGCAAATCAATGCCTTGCAAACACTGCAACGAATATTGATCGCTATAAACGAAAGCATTAGCGCTCTGGCCTTGGCGTCATGATAATAATTGTTTTTGTGCAACTTGTTTGATTTTTTTAATTTTTGTACAAGGTGAGAAATTTGCTGCTTTAAGCACTAGATTTAGTGCTTTTTGACAATTAAAATGCAAAAAAAAAATATTTAATGCCTAGTGCCCTTTTTAGTGCTTTTTAAGTGCTTTTTTCTGAACTACAACTTCTCCGAGAAAGTTAAAACCTGAAAGAATATGAAATATTTAAAGCTGTGGCAGCACTGAATTTACAAGAATCTACAAATTTAAATGCCCCAAAATACCTCCATGAATGATAAAAAGCTGAAGTTGGAAACTCACCTTGTTGCAATCTAGTCGCATTGAAAATGCTAGCACGCAGGTAAGTGAAGTATTTCTTTTTTCTTTTCTAATTATTTATACAAGTTTTGGTTTTTGTTTTACCAACTGAGTAAAACACATCGTTTCTTGGTGCTGAATCCAAATCTGGCCAGACAAGTGCTCTAGCACTATAATTTTTAGATATCCTAACCTCAAAGTGCCAAAAACGCGATATTTGAGGTTATATTATGAAAACATCAACTTTTTTGCTCATTTATACTTAGGACATCATTACTTTTCCATACCAGTTTTAATGTGCAGTACTACGGTATTACGTCTTAAGCATGAGTCATCATAGCATGTGTGGAAGCTATTCAATCGTTATGAGCGAAAAAGTTTTGTGTATTGATTTATGTATATATACCTACTTGTAAATATTGTTAATTTTTTACTTTTGTTAAATACAAACTGTTATGAAAAAAAGTCTCCTTTGATTAAAAAAAAATTAGTGTTTTTGGTGTGGTAAAACGCTTTTTTCCAAGTTCTTGGGGGTTTTTGAAAATCAAAAGTTAGCAACACTGTTTGTTAGACATATCAAAATACTGTGCTGTTTCAAAAAAAAAAAACTGTACTGAACAGTTGAGAGATATTGTTTTTGTTTTTGTAACTTTTTCTAGATTAGAGCACAGGGCTTGGAAGAAGAGGCGGCTTGCTATATATAGCTTTGTTGGAGCAAATAATAGTCGAGAGGGAGTGCTTTTAGTTTGTGAAGTAAACCATTGCGCAATGCTTGCTGAAATGCTTCTTTCCCCGCATCCAGGTAGTTAGCGGCTCAAAATTTTTCGCTGACAAACTCGCAAGCTTGCAACTCAACTCAACACAACTCTATGTACCGGCGTCCGGAGTCCAAATTAACTTTTTATTTTGCATTATAGGTAGAATGATAATTGGTACGAGTATTGCACCTTTGCCTGACTTGGGGGCTTTCAACAATATGGCTCTCCAAACTATTTGTTTTCGTAATTTTTGAATGTAATTAGAACTAGGGGTTTTGAATGTAATTAGAACTAGGGGTTCATTATTATTTTCAAATATTGCTTGAACCTGTTTCGAAATATCGTGAGATTTTACTTGCTGGTTGGAACTACAATACCAAAGTAAAACCAAAATTTTCTGTTTTTGATTGAAATTATGTTGATTTTCATTTTTAATTAAATAGTTCTGTTGTTAGTACGAATTTGTTACGAAAAATAGTTTGTAAGTATTATTTTTTTATCTTAATAAACCACTAAGGTAATTTCGCGGCCCACAACCCAACGCACGCGAGGCGGCGACTCCCTTCTCTCATCCCTACGTCACGCAAATCAACGAAAGTCCTAAAGTCTTTACTTTTGCAATATCATTGGTCGTCTCAATTCAAATAAATTCTGCAAGACTGTTGACTTAATGAACATTTTTTTGGGGTCATAATAAAACAGCAACCTGGTACCTTATCGTAAATATTTATTTGGAACGTTACTTTTGCATTATAATTACATACAAATACGTACATACATACATACATACATAACTTATATTTAAACAAATATTTAAGCTAACTTAGTTTCTAGCGTGTAATAATAGCCATGTTTCCAAGCATGAGAAAAATAAATACAGAATTGCGTAAATATAAAGTGCCTACATACATATACTTGGTTTAAAAAAAAAATCACTAAATTCGGTGTTTTACAAATTTTTAAACTACTACTACTACTATTGATATTGCCAATGTGTGAAAATATTCCACGCTTGGTAGGTGCATTCCTGTTGCACGGGCTTTGGAGGGCATTTCTCAAACTGCTTGACGGAGGCAGCACAGGCGTCCGGATATGCTGCACCCGAGGGGCACTCGGTGCGTTCATATGGATGATATAGCTGTATTTTATTCTTCAACATCCGCTTCCTTATTTGATTTCTAGTTTGCACATCCTCAGCGATGGTATCGATTGTCCAATAATTTCCACGACCTGGATCGTTTGCAGGCCTCGGAACGCGCACGAATATTTTATTATGACTTAGATTGTAGCGCACTGTATCCTTCCAGTTTTCGTTATTTCTGGAGAAATGCGGATAGTTATCTTCAATCCAGCGGTAAATTGCTCTTAGCGGCAAGCATTTTCCAGGACTGCTACGAATGGCCATTGCAATGGCAGCTCTGTAAGTGATACCTTCACATATTGGCGATGAGTTGGTGCCTTCGAAGTGGCGGCGATTCGAGGGGGTGATTGTCTNAGTGATACCTTCACATATTGGCGATGAGTTGGTGCCTTCTAAGTGACGGCGATTCGAGGGGGTGATTAGTGCTTTGCTAGAACGTTCTTTAACGAGATCTTTTCCAAGAATAAATTTGACAGTATATTTGTTGAACACATCGGTGTCGGCCAGCAGGCATCGAATGGAATACGAAGAATGTAGTTGCGCCATTTTTGTGAACTCTTGGGCCTTTGCTTTAGACAACGTCTTTATGACAGCACTGCAAGGGGCGAAAGTTAAATGATGTCGACCATAGAAGCGTTGGCATTTTATACTAAACATTCCTGTATATATTATAACTATATGACTTCTCCAAATATACTATGCAACATTTTCGCTCCAAAAATCAAAACAAACACTTTCACTCAACCCTCAAACTCTACATTGCGTTTGAGTGAGTGTTTCAAATGAGTGTTTCTGAATAGGACGAATGTCGCAGCCAACAGCTTCCGCAGGTATGTAAATTGAATTCCGAGTGACTTTGTTGCAAGATTTGTTGTATAACATTATCTCAGTTAAAAAAAAAAACAATCGCCTTCTTCTGAGAATTGTTACATACATAATTGCTACCGATTTAAACACTCTATGTAAATGTACAGAGCAAAGTTATAATTTTTTACATAAAACCCCTCCCCACTTTCGAAGCCTAAATAAAAGTAATTCTATCTACATTACACTGAATTATAAAAGTAATTGCATTTATGTACCTTGCATTTGCTCATGATTTCGAATATTTCTGTCATATTCACGTTACTTACGTTACTCATAATTTATGATCCGAAAACTGACAAATCGCCGATTTAGCACCTCACCTACACAAAAGGCGACCTATTCTGATTTAAATCAATCGAAATACTGATTTTAATTGGCATTGAATTGAATGTATAGAATCGGCGTATAACTGTAGGCCCCTCCCTTTGTGTAACAAAATCAAGGGACACGCCACTAATCGGAGGAGGAGCTCCGATACATATCGAGCCCTAACCGCCAAAATAACGTAAGCGACATTTTTTTCAAAATTTTATTTTTGATGCAGAAATGCATTTTGATGCTCTAGGAATATTTCTGCATCAAAGAGAAAATTTTGAAAAAATGTCACGTTATTTTGGCGGTTAGGGCTCGATATGTAAATATGTGTAAGCGCCAATCTATTATGTATTACACCGTGTGACAGTCAATTTTACACATGAAAAAAATCAAATATAGTAAAACTGCGTTTTTAGTTTTTCTCTCTGACGTCAGGATTTTTTTAAAGGACTTTGAAATTTCTAGACTATGATTGAATAAAAAAATTATTCAAGCGAGGCGGGGCATTGTGCATAGAATAAAAATATGGGTATCAATTAAAAGGAAAAAATCCTGTAGAATAGAAAAAAAATGTAATTTTTGGGGGCACCAGGACGAATAAGTATTGAAAAAGTCCTTATAAAACTTTATCCTTGAATATCGTTGGAAATTTCCAATATTTATTTTTGAAAAAAAAAAAATGTCAATCACTAATATGTTAACTACCACATCCTCGAATTTCGTCCTTCTAACTTTATTAGTTTTAGATAAACAAATTTTACACTTCTCTTTGTAAGATAAAATAATATAAGGATAGTTTCAGTATGTATACATAAATGAACATACTAGAATTATTACACTGTACAGCACTCCGCTGGGTATTGGAACAAACCAATTTTTTTTAAGAGATTGAGTCATAGGTAAAAAAGTAATTTCTCCGTTTTTTGAAGTTAGCCTCCGAAATCGAGATATGGCCCATATCGAAGTTTGAAAATCGAAAGCATAAAGCCTATAGCATGTGTTAAACAGATGAGTGAAAATTACTAATATTACCGAACTCTTCAAGATTGCCAACCCGGTAGGTAGGCCAGGAAAAAAAATAGACACCCCAACGTTTTCACATTCTATAGGCTTAATACTTTCGAGTGGTATATAATTTGTTCATTAAGCAATTGAGTACAGAATTAAAAAAATAATATTAATTTTTGAATATTTAATTAAAAACATCCTGGCCAGGATTTTTTCAGCCAACCCAAAATATTTATTAACACGGTTTTCATAGAAAAAAATTTCACCTATTAAACAGATGGGTGAAGGTCGTGCCTTTGTCGGATCTTAGACTATTACAATAAATTTGTATTATATACTATTCGCTTCCATTTCGGTCCAACGCGCAAAATTATTATTAAACAAATGTCGAATAAAACCAATAGATTTTGTTTACTTTTGAATACAGTTTCATCGAGTGCGCTATTAAATCGGGTTTTGTTAATGCGGTTTTTGCGTAGGTGTAAACAAATTATATGATTGTGTACTTGGAACTGAAAAAGACATGGACAATGGAAACATCTGATGGGCGGCCTAGTTTTCGGGAGAAAGATTCGGCGAGAGATTTACTTCGACGCTCCAGCTCCGAAAGTATTCAACTCGGAACCCGCTGGTAGTAGCAGAGGAAGAGTGAGGCCCCCACTGCGTAGCAAAGTCCAGGTGGAGAAGCACTTGGTTTCACTAGGCAGTTCCATGTAGGGTTTCTTAAATGTATAGAGTCCGAAACCATCGGTATTAATCGCTAGCTTAGAGTGATCAGTTGCTAAGTCCACTTTTTATGAAAACTCACAGTATTACATATTTATGTAAGTTGGTTTTTGATTTCTACGTAAAAATGGCATAGCGGGGTAGCTCCGGTTAAATACAACGACTGCTTTATCGATCATATGTCGAAAACGTCGATAATGATGTTTAACCGGCAAGTACTGATAACCAGACATTGAACAACCGGCCCTAAGAATGTTGGCTGGCTACGAACTTTGTTGAAAGCGATTAGTTGAAAGGCCGTGCAACTAAAAGTTGAATGCAAATTTGAACTGCTTGTGCATAACTGAGCTAATAAAACTCGCTGTACAGTTCAATGTGAACGACAACTTTACTTTTTTTTTTTGCGTTTTAAAGTACGATGCAATGTTATAAATTTAGCTGATGCGTTACAGAACATTAAGTAGACTTTGTTCGTATCCATTGCAAATGTCGTTTTCGAAGTCAGTCAAACACCAAAATGACCTAAATCGTCGAAATTGTCCACATAAATACAACGTCCCAAATGAAACACCTGCTTGGCCAGAGAAGTTCGTAATGCTCAGTTTGCTGTTGTTAACTCCAATATCTGGGCCAGAACAAGATTTCGAAGCCGATGAGACCATCATCTGTGCACTTGTCTTGATCGTACGTACTTATCAATTATTTCCCAAATCCTGCTACTTTGTCGAATTATCTTGTGCCAGATTTGTATGCTTTTGGTTACTTACATACACACACACACATAGGGTGATCCAAAAAAAAATGTATGGCCTTAAAAGGACCTATTTACTGCGAAGAAATTTCTCCCATTTGGAAAAATTTGTATTCCAATTTTAAAAGCTGTCGGTAGGCATTTGCAATATTGCACGTAAATAACATTTAAAAAATTTGAATTCATTAAAAATGTTATAACAAGGGCTCGGAATTTCATGCACTAAAATATCGAAAATATGCGCCATAAGCAAATAAAATATGCAATTAAAAACAATTTTCTACTATTTTATTGCCGGCACAAAAATTACTAACACATGTAAATATTTTAAAAAGCAAATAACAAAATAATTCACTTCAAAATATAATACATATTTATGTTTCTTGTGTAAATAGAAACATTGACAGTTTCATAGTAGTTCAGATGAATGTTTGGTTGGTTTAACCAGGCTCATTGCAAATACGACAGATCTGTTGAAGGGCACTTCAATCATTTCGTCATGGGGGGAGGGGGGGGTACTCTGCAGTAAGTTTGGTAAGCTTTGGTTTTAAGTGGGTCGCGGCACACCCAGAACTACCGGGTGATCCTGTACGATCCTGTACGGTTCCACCTCTACTTGGCCTTCAAGTGATAAATTTCGATAATTTTTGCGTGGGAGACCTTCAGTGCGGAGCCGCACCTTACCAACTCGTCCGCTGCCTCGCCCTACAAGAAAATTCCCACAATAAATTTTTATCTCAAACGGTTCAATATTTATAACATTTTTAATGAAAACAAATTTAGGTACATATTGTTCACATGGAAAACTTCAATTTTCCACCGACACCCTTTACAATTTTAATAAGCAGTTTTTCAAATGGGAGAATTTAACGTGATAAATTTGTTAGGTTAGTTATTTTAGCTCACCCTAATACATATGCATCATATACTACATGTGTACGCACTTGTTAATGTATAATGTAATAGCATGTTGCAAACCAATAAATGTTTCTTTACGCTACTATCTGCTTAAAACAAGCTGCATACACGGCTTTTGTAATTATCGTTGCTGTTTTTTAGTGAGACTCTGTATTTATTCGAAACTTGGCTGTGTTTCGCATCTTTTTTTTTTGTTATTTACGCTATACCGTAACTTCTGATATAATTTTCTCTTTGTCTCTTCAACAGATAATTTTCTGGTGGCGAGAGGTAAATATGTAAACGCATGATTTAAAAAAAAATTAATAAAATCTGAGTTTTTTAAGTACATATTTATATCTATTTACATGTAAGTAAATACATTTAAATATAGAATTTTTTAGTGTACCCCGGAAATGGACTTTTCAGTAAAATAAAAACTTGAAAAACTGCAGTAAGGAAAACTATTATTCTTCTTTCCTATGATCTGCCTTAATCCTTGTAGAACTTGACCAGTTTCTGGCTTAGCAAATTTGGTGCTGGACGGAATATTCCAAGAAAGGATTGATTCATTCGTGCCTGGACCAAATCGGACATGCTAAACCTTTACATTGCTGATCGATGGCGATATTGGCAAAAATATTAGGAGTAGAAGAGTTTTTTAGCTGCCGCTGTGGCTAAGAGGTTAGACTACGTACTACAACTCTGTAGGACCTGGGTTCGATCCGTAGCCCAAGCAAAGTTTTTTTTCTAATAGCGGGCGCCCCTCAGCAGGCAATGAGAAACCTCTGAGCCTATTTCTGCCATGAAAAAGGTAATAACAATCCATATGCCATTCCGAAGTGGCCTAAGACTGTAGGTCCCTTTATTTGTGTGATAATATCTAGGGATATGCCAAAAATTCGAGGAGAAACTCGGCCAAATACTTGGCAAAAGTGTAAGCGACAAAATATTATTATATTATGCAACAAATTCGCAGTGG